TTTGTTATTTGGGTTTTAATGCTATTTCATGGAATTTCATGGTGAAAATGATTAGATTCATTTATAGACTGGTGAATAAGTGTCCCAAATCAGAAGACAACCTAACTCCTTGGTTTGTCTTTCTTGTTGTTATGGTCTTGGTAACACCATTGTTGTTATTAGTTGCCATTGAGTCAACTGTGACTCCATGTACAACAGATATACTTAGCCAGTAAAATAAAAATGGTTTTCAATTTTTATTACTTTAAAACATTCATTAGACTTAGAAGTACTCAAATCGATAAATACACTATTAGACTACCATATTTCCAATCATCTTGGAAGGAAGGTTGGGCAATCCTACTTCTGTAGTGATACTGCTTTGGAAACCCAAGGAGGGGTCGCTATAAGTCGGGGCTGACTTGATGGCACATAACAACAACAAACAACATTTCCAATCATAAGTACAGTTGATGTATTATCTTCTAGAGAAGCCTGGTAAGTTTTTATTTTTGTAACAAAACAGCTCCACAAGATAGAGGTAATGATCTACCTACCTTGGTTTCAGAATACAGCTTGTAGGTCAGATTAGCATTCAAGAGGGTTATCTGTGAAGTAGTTATAATATCAAAGGGAATAGAGCCAATGTTGACTGAGCAGAATGCTTCCATTCCTGATACCCTTCTGACCTTTGGAAAGCAACCTTGGTAAAAATTAGTTTTATGTTTTCCTTCTGTTTAGAGTCAAATGATGAGTTGTGGATTGGTTTGAATGATATCAAGATTCAAATGTACTTTGAGTGGAGTGATGGGACACCTGTAACATTTACTAAATGGCTGCGTGGAGAACCAAGCCATGAAAACAACAGGCAGGAAGATTGTGTTGTGATGAAAGGCAAGGTAAAGCAACCTTAATTACTGATACTTAGCAAAATCTAAGTTCATGGTACACAAAACTCTGCCAAGATTTTTATTTTTTCTTCAGCCCCACTTATGTATGGTTGTTTAGATTGTTTCTGTTCTAGGTTAACTGACATGGATCAAAGTTGAACCAGAATTCAGATGCAATCTCTTAAATCTCTTTCAGTTATCTAACAAAGTAAAATTTTCAGAGGGGTATAAATACAACAGACAAATTTTTTGTTTAAGGATGAAATGAACCAATAACTGATACTCATACTGGATCCTATAGAGAAAGAGCGTGAGTGCTTGAGCACATTCTGGTGACATAGTGGGTAAGACATTTGACTATTAACCAGAAAGTCAGCAGTTCAAACCCACCAGCGGCTCCATGGGAGGAAGATGAGCCAAACTACTTCTGTAAAGATTTACAGCCTTGGAAACCCAATGAGGGTCACTGTGAGTCAGAATCGACTGGATGGCAGTGAGTGGAAATATAAATAAAATATACATATATATGTACAATATAAAATACATACATATATGTGTATATATATATATGTTTAACTGAGAATATCTCTATCTATGTATTTGTATGTGCTGCAATATATCTATAAAAGTAGTAGAGCATACAGGAGGCAAAATTATGAAAATGTCTTAGTTATAACTAAATACCTTGAAGGAGTGATTCACTGGACATACAGGCTCAGGACCATAGTCTCAGGGGACACTAAGGTCAATTGGCATAACATAGTCCACAAAGCATTGTTCTACATCTTTCTTTGGTGAATAGTGACTGGGGTCTTAAAAGCTTTAGAGCAGCCATCTAAGGTGCAACCACTGGTCACTCCCTGTCCGGAGCAAAGAAGAATGTTGAAGATCAAAGGTATAAGGAAAGAATTAGTCCCAAAAGACTAATGGAGCACATGAACTCCAGCCTCCATGACCCTGACAGCAGAACAAATTGGTGCCCAGTTATAAAAGGAGTCATAGTAGGAGGTCCCAGATAGAGTGGAAGAAAATGTGGAACAAAACTCAAAATCATGAGAAAAGACCAGGTCTACTGGTCAGATGAAGACTGGTAGAACTTCCAGGATCATGGCCCTTTGACACGCTTCCAGCCACGAACTGAACTAAACCCCTGTGTCTCAACTTTCAGCCCTTAGACAGGAAGACCCATAATGTGCACCGTAATACTAGGAGGGTATGCACTCATTCGAACCATCAACCATCTGAGATCAAGAGGGCAGCATTTGCCAGAGACAGAGCAAAGAAAGCAGAAGGGGATGGGAAGGAAGGATGAAGGGAAGGATTGTGTGCATGGAGGAAGTGGGAAGAAGGCTGTTGCTTTGTGGGGATTGCAGTGAATGTCCCCAAACAAAATGTGTATGGATTCTTGAATGGAAAACCAATACGCTCTGTGAGCTTGCACCTAAATCACAATAAGAAAAAAAACATTGTTTTTAAAAAATAATTATTAAAACAAAGTCAAATTATTGTGCAGTGAATATCACAAAACAGAATATGTATGGATTGCTGAATGGAAAATAGATTTACTCAGTAAACTTTTGCCCTAATCATAATAATTTTTTTAAAAAATATATGCAATATATATAATCTTGACTGATCAAATCAGAGCTTTGGTTCTACTTTAAACTATTTGCTCTGAGTAGATGCAGATGTAGTTAATCCATTCCGAATTCTTCCTGAAATCTGTACTTAGAGAAGTAGATTTATTTTTTCAGGCTGAATGGAGGTATCTAAATATCAAGGATTGCTTCTATGTTTTATTTATGATGTTAGGAAAGAAGGATAACACAAAACTGTCTTTTGTTTATAGGTGGTGGCTAAAAGGCTGGATTTTGCCATGTTACTTATTTCCTTATTTCTAAAATGGGAATAATAATTGTACCTACAGTTTCTGAGGAGGTAAATCTTTACAGAAGTAGATTGCCCATTGTTCCTTCCATGGAGTGCCTGGTAGATTTGAACTGCCAACCTTCTGGTTAGCAGTCAAATGCCTTAGTCACTACGCCACCAGAGCTCCCTTTTTTTTTTTTTTCGTTGTTGTTGTACATGGTGGGTATGAATATTAAATGTGTATATAAAGTACACAGTGCCTGGCCCAGAGTTATTGTTCAACAAACGCTAGGTATTATTTTTTTCATTGTGGTTGTTTTATTGTTACTAATTGAAAGCTTAAGAAAAGGGTAGGGTTTAATTATCAAAACAGCAGAGAACACCATGCTTGTAAGGACTGAAAGAAAAACATGGCTGAAAATGTAGAGTTAGAGGTAGAAGGGTGGGTAGGAATACTAGCATTGCAGTTAAAGCAATATGTATTATCCCAGAGTGACAAGAACAAAATTTCAGCTTCTAAATATTACTGTATTTGTTTCCTAGTACTACTGTAATAAATTACTACAAACTTGGTAAGCTTGTAAGAACAGAAATGTATTCTTCACAGTTCTTGTGGCTAGGAGTCCTAATTCAGGGCATCAGCAGGACCATGTTCTCATGTCTGCTCTGGGGAAGATCCTTCCTTGTATCTTCCAGTTTCTGGTAGCCCCAGGTGCTACTTGGCATTCTTGGCTTGTAGATGCATTTTCACATGGCCTGGTGACATAGTGCCTAAGGCATTTGATTGCTAACCAGAAGGCTGGTGGTTCAAACCCATCAGCCACTCCTCAGAAGGAAGGTTGGGCAATCTACTTCTGTAGTGATACCACCTCAGAAATCCAAGGAGGTGTTGCTATGAGTTGGATCCAACTCAACCGCAGTGAGTTTGGTTTTTTAGTTTTTTCTTTCTCCTGTGTTTCTGTATCTGGTCTCTTCTTTTATAAGGACACTGTTTTGGTTACTTCTGTGCTGCTCTAACAGAAAATACCACAAATGGTTTGGCCTCTACAAAGAGGAGTTTATTCTTATTTGAAGGCTTTAAGTCTGAGTTCAAAGTGCCAGGCTCTAGGGGATGGGTGAAATCTTCTCAACCTTGGGCTTCAGCTCTGCCTCCTGCTCCTGGCCCACTGAAGCTGGTGGCTTTTCTTCACTTAGCTGCTGGCTGCTGAGGCTGACAAACCCAAGGTTGACAAATACAAAGGTACAGTCCCGATATTACCAAACCACATGGCAGGCCATTAATTCAAATCCATTAAAAGTCCCAAGATCGGCAGAGTATGGCAGGCTGCTGAACAACGACTTGGCTATGTGCAGGGTTCAACCATGCCATAAGCTAGAGACCGTTCCACAAGGCTTCTCCTTATATACAGGAAGCAGACCCCATCCCTGAGGCAGCTACTCAGCTGCTCACAGTAGATTCCACCATGGAGTTGATTACCTGTCTCATCATGGGGAATACTACATCCAGCTGCCCAGCCACTCAACTAGGTCCAGCCAAGTTGGCACACAAACTTAACTACTACAGACACCCTACTCAAATATGATTCTTGTTAACTGATAACATCTTTAAAGACTCTATTTCCAAATAAGGTTGTATTTACAGGTACTAGGGTTAGGACCTCAACATGTCTTTTTTGAGGATACAAGTCAATCCAAAGTGATTGCCCTAGCTAACGGGATAAGTACCAGATTGCAGTGGGTTCAGATGAATGAGAGATAAAGAACTGGACACAGCCTTTGCAGAATTTTTTTTAAAGAAATTTAGCAATTAAGGAGAGAAGAGGTTATTGTCAACATTAAATCTCTAAGGAAGTAGGAGGGGATTTAATCTGAAGCAAGGTAAATGGTTAAGCCATAGATTTAAGAAGATAACTCATCAATTGCAACAATAAGAAGGGAGGAAGCATGACTATGGCTTTAGGTGCATTTTCAGATTTGGTGTGATGGATAAGGCACTTAGGAGTTTTTTTTTTTTTTCCTGGATTGCTAACTAGAACGCAGACTATAGAGACTGACAGGAGATTGCATAAAAATCTCTTAGTTCCATCATTTAGAGGTTGGTTGACAAAAATTTTTATCCATTTGTTGTTATCTGCCCTCAAATTCATATTGGTCCCTGAGTCCTGGTGACTGCTCACACAACTGAAGGAAATGCTGCCCTGTCGTAGATTGTGTCAGGAACCACGGGGTTTTCATTGGCTGAGTTTTTGGAAGAAGATCACTAGGCTTTTTTACTAGTCCAGTTTAGTCTGTTCAGCATCACAGCAACATGCAAGCCTCCAGTGACAGATAGGTGGTGGCAGTGCTTGAGGTGCATTGACCAGTCATTGAACCTGGATCGTGGGAGCTCTGGGTGGTGTAGTGCCTAAGGCATTTGACTGCTAGCCAGAAGGCTGGAGGTTCAAACCCACCAGCCACTCCTCGGAAGGAAGATGGGACAATCTACTTCTATAATGATACCGCCTCAGAAACCCACAGAGGGGTACTATGAGTCGAATTGACTCAACAACATGGAGGACAAGAATTCTACCACTGAGTCATCAAAGTCTCCTTTTAGATTCCTCTGAATAGTGGCTTGATCACCCAAGATATAAAAGCATATTCGGATTACCATATCTTTTTATGTCTTTGTATCCCATGTCAAATTTGCTATTTATGTGCAGAATCTAAATGTGCTTTCCTTTTGTAGATGACATTTTTTTTTCTTAATAACCTGGAATCTTAGTTTCTTCTATCTGAAATACAAGATTGCATCAAAGTCAGACCACTGAGAATCCTTTTAATTTTTCTCTTTGCTCTCTGCAGAATGGATTCTGGGCAGACCGGGCCTGCGAACGGCCTCTTGACTACATCTGCAAGATGAAATCACAAACCCAAGCTCCAGAAATAGTGGAAGTAGAAACAGGGTGCCGGAAAGTGAGTATAGAATGCACAAAATGGTTTAAGATCACTGCATGTTATTTGGTAAAAGTAGCTTTATTTCATTATATAGTGTCTGTAACAAGTGCTTTATTAATGTCATCAATAGTCAGATGTTTCCACTGTTTAACTGTCAACAGTTGATTATTTGTTAATGTTTAGTATCACTATTTTTCAAAAAACCTTTAATATCCTCCACAGTTAACATGGTGTTACTAGTGGTTAGTATTTCAGAATGTCATGGGAATTGGGAGGAGAAAGAACAGGAATAGAACAATACACAGAATTGAGCCTGGTAAGAGTAGGGGAGACTAAGGCAGGTCACGGAAGAAAGTGTCAACATCTATCAAGGTATTGGTAGCCTAAGATGCCGTGGATGGTCAAAACCATTTCCATGAGTTAATCTTAAATTGCTGATGGAAAACTATCTTTAGTCTTCTTTTCTGATTAATATTATTTCTGTTGAGCCTACTTCTGTGGAAATTAGTAAATCCCTGCAATTGGAGATGGTAGATCTAGACTCCAACTAGTGTCAGCAATAACTCAGTTAAATGGAATAAAGTCACATAACCTTACAGTGCTTCGGCTTTACCTGTAGAACAAAGTTAGTAATACCTCTCTGCAGGTCTTATATTTTTTGAGGATAAAGCAAATGATCACTAACAAAAACCAAACTCACTGCTGTCGAGTCGGATCTGACTCATAGTGACCTCTCCTTGGGTTTCCAAGGCGGTATCTCTATGGAAGTAAATTGCCCAACCTCCCTTCTGAGGAGTGGCTGGTGGGTTTGAACCACCAGCCTTCTGGTTAACAGTCAAATGCCTTAGGGCACTATGCCACCAGAGCTCCCAAAATGATCACTAGGAAATAATTTTAAAAAGCATTAAAAATTACAAAAATGCGGGGTTTATAGGTATTATTTTCCTGTTTATTAGTTGCTCATCTTCCCCTGTTTTTCCTTTTTCACTTTTCTTGGACAAAAATAAAATAAAAACTAGTTTTATTTCTAAGAGTGTGATGTTGTAATCAAATAATCTTATAGCAAATATGTGAAAGTTGAAAAATTCATGAAAACCTTATTTAATACAGTACAAATAAATTGTAAAGGAAAATGGAACAGATGCAAAAACTCAGAGTGTTAGATATACAGAGGATCTTAGAGATGATCAAAATCCCCCTCCTAATTTTTGCATTCTGGAAATTTCTGCCAGAAAGTTGTATGGCTTTCTTAGAATCACACAGAAGGAAGGCTGTAACCCAGGGCCTCTCTCTCTTATACCACTACACTTTGTCTCATTAAGTATCCTTTACCTAATCATATGCCTTTTTGTATATTATTATAATTTTAAATAAATAATAATAATCCTTTTATTTTTATTATTTTTAATAATTAATCCAAGTTATGTATTTTCTTTTAATTACCACCTATTTGCAATCTCCTTCCGAGGAGTGTCTGGTGGGTTTGAGCTGCCAGCCTTCTGGTTAGCAGCCAAATGCCTTAGGCACTAGCCACAGAGCTTCCAATTTAATTATTAGTACGGAAATAATAAAAACAAAGTAACAGCAATGATTCATGTATTATGAAATACAGTTACTATGGTCTCAGTGACCTTTCAGGATAAATATAGTATTCCTAAAGAAATTCAGAAGAAGAATCTGAAGCTCAGAGATATTAAAAAGCTTTGGACAGTTTAAAAACATCTACTTTAAGCAGTGACTTCCACAAAGGGCAGATAAGACTAGAAAAAAATCTACTCACCAGCAGGAGAAACTAACATGACAATTTTTTTTTTTTTTTGGCTGGGCCAGACCAGTTGGTGGAATAGTGGGCTTTTACAAATTTAAAACCACAGGCTTGTTCTCAAACAGATCTGTGATTCAATTTTTTGCTACCTATGTGGAATACCCCAAGCCAAGAAATGAACCTAAAGTGGCCTTGAGTTGCTGGTACTCTGGGATGCCTGAACCTTGTAAATGTACATGTTGCTGTAAATAAATAAATAAATAAATAAAAATTTAGCATAGTATGCTTTTGAAAATAATTTTCAGTGGGAGAGAAAATGTATAATATATACAAAATATATAGTAATGTGTGCTTTGTTTGTGTAAAAGTACAGCAAGTCCTCTTTGCAAGGAAGTCTTTAATCCAGGCTGACTATAGCTCCAATAGATGGATTTGAAATCCAAAGTCATAAAATACATCATTAAGATCTTCTTATAGTGCAATTCATGGATATAACATTAAAATTAATATACTTAAGAATGCTTAAAACATAAAAGTTGGAATTGAAACCATGATGAAGGAATGATGAACCACTAAATCTTATAGTGTTTTGATATGGCTCAATACTAAATATTTTAAATTTCCATTAAGATTTCTTTAACTAATGCATTATTTAGAAATGTGTATGTGCTCATGTATCTCTGTGTGTGTGTATGTGTGTGTGGTGGTGTAGTTGTTAGGCTTTTTGTTTGATTTTTAGTTTCCTAAGTTTATGAGTATTATTCACTTTAATTGCACTGCATTGTGATCATATAAATTGGTTTTTATTTTAAGATTTTCCTTATGGCCTGGTTCATAATCAGTTTTTGTAAATATTTTATGTGTGCTTGAATTGGATGTTCTTTGATTATTGGGCACAAAACATATTACCTTATGTTGACTAGATACAATTTAGCAATGGTATTAACCAGGTATTTGATATTCTTAATAGTTTGTGCTTGTTGTATCACTTACTGGAAGATGTGTGTTAAACTCTACCTCTATCACTATGAATTTGTCATTTTTTTCCTTATAATTGTGTTAATTTTTGCTTATGTAATTTGATGCTATGTTGTTACATCTTCCTGATGACTCATTCTGTTAAATATCATATAATTACTTTTTCATTCCTAATATATGTGTGTGTGTGTGTGTGTGTGTATACTAAGTAAATTTATCTAATATTAATATTGCCATAGAACCTATCTTTTGCTTGGTATATCCCTAGTATCTCCTTTTGCAATTCATTGTTCATAATCATTCTATGCCATTATGTCTCAGAAATATCTCTGGTAAATATATATCTAAATTTTTACTTTTAATCTAATTCAAGGAACTGGTTTTTAACTAGGAAATGAATGAGTTCAGATTTGTTTTGCTTACTGACATATTTGGATTTATCTCTGTTATTTTTTGTATTTTTATTTATCATTCTTTCTTTTATGAGTTTAATTGTTCTACTGAGTATCTTTATTCTATTTTTCTCCCTCTACAGATTTTGGAATTACACACTCTACTTCTATTTTTTTAGTTAACTTTATATTTTTAATATGCATTCATAACTTGACAAAGTTAAAGCTAATCAGTATGTTTTTCTGCTTACTGAATAAAATGAGGATCATTGTCTTATGTTTTAAATTATTAAAGTTTTTTGGTTTTGAAATAATTTTAGATTTGTAAGAAGTAACAAGAATAGTACAGAGAGCTCTCTTGTACCCAACTTTCTTTAAGAACATTTTAAAATACTTTAATACATTATCACAACCAGGAAATTGTCGCTGATACAATATTATTAACTGGACTATGGACCTCATATTCTACTTTTTTAGATCCCAAGATTAGTGAAAATTGCTATTTATACAGGCAATTAAATCTGGATTTACTAAAACATCTATAAATTTCATATTAATCCTACTCATTCTTCTGAGTTAAAATTCCTTCTTGCCAAAGTAAATCTTTTAATAGTTTTTTCACTGGTGGAGTGTAAACCTCCTTGTCTTTGGGTGAAAATGTCTTTAACTCATTCTCCTTACTGAGTTATAATTAATTTGTTAATGACAACAGAGCTCCCAATTTAGATTTCTAGATTGACAGCTACTTTTAGACAGAGCTTTATATATTATTCCATTTTCTTCTGGTCTTTATTTTTGTCATTGAAATTCTTATTATCAGACAGTTCTTTTCTTTTTTTTTTCCCAAGTAGGTACACTGCCTTTTCTCTCTGGTTGATTTTAAGACCTTCTCATTGTCTTTCGCATTTTGCAGATTCATTACAATGTTTCTAGGATTGGATTTATTTTACTGGTTTCATTTGATACTGAGTGTGCTTCTACATTTTGATGATTCATATCTTTCTTTAAATTCTTGAAAATTCTTTTATTATTATTTTTTTTAATTCTTTTTATTTATTTATTTATTTTTTAAATTTAATTTTTTTTTTTTTATTGTTATTTGGGTGAAGATTTACAGAGTAAATTCACTTTCCATACAGCAGTTCACATATACTTTGTCTTATGTCATTGACCACAATTTACCACAATGCAACAACTCCCCTCCCACTTCCTCCCCATAGTTACCTCTTACCAGTGACCATCCCTCCATACTCTTCTGCACCCTGAGCTGTCTCCCTGTGCACAAGCAGCCTTCCTTCTCCCATGATTGTTTTCTCCAGGGCATGTGTCTACTTGAGGTAAATGTTTAA